CCCCAGTACTCTTTCCTGCCATGGCAGGGGGTCGGACTAGATGATCTGCTCAGGTCCCTTCCGACCCTACCGACCCTAGAAACTATGAAACTGTATGTTTGCTAATTAAGTGTAAAGAAAGACAAAACTGGTTGAAATGCCTGGCTAAACAACTGGAACTACAAGTTTTTGAAGTAATAAACCAGCTCTTGAGAGTTGTAGCTACCTCTGCAGGTATAAAAAGAACATGTTCTTAATTTCAGTTTTAGTTCAATAATGTGTTTGCTCAAATTTGAGAACCCACTAGAGCAATGATTTGCAGCTTTTTTTAGACTCAAGACATTCCACAGTAGACTCGAGGCATCCTTCAGAAAATGCCAGCTCTTACCTTTCAATTATTTTTTTAAAATACAAAAAATAATAGCACAATTCTTCTGTTACAATGTACTCACAAAAGCCACAACAGGCAAATTGTTTTTGACTGTATCGATTCCTATTTGAAATCTCTGAGTATATCTTGTGAATTGTGTGTCTGCGTTTGCAAGTCTAACAAAGCTGATATTGCATGACACGCTTAAAAGGATATCGTGGCACCCTGGCATGCTGTGGCACCCTGGTTGAGAATCACTGTGCTTGAGAGCTGAAAAAGCTGGGACACTGGTTTTCCTCCTCTAATCTGTGAATAACAACTGAGTGAGAGAGGTTGAAGTCTACCAGTTCTAAAATATTGAAGTATGCAGTGAACTGAAACAACTGGTTCAGCTCAGTAACTACAGAATCTTTCCTGTGCTTATTAAAATGTTGCCTTGAAATGCAGAATACATTCTGATAAACTTTTTCTTGTATATCCAGAATATTTAATATATTATTTTTAATTATTAAAAATAGATTATAATTAATTAGATTAGATTTAAAATGCTGAATTTTAGCCATTTCAATTTTTGTTCCAAAGCAATTTGATGTAAACCGCAGGTAAAAAATTCATCATCTAGTAAATAAATAATGCAGTTCACCATTTTATAACACAATAAAATGTAACAAGTATCTGTGTACATGTATATAGTTGCTTAAATGTGTAAATATCCTGGTTAGCAAAAAGAAGAATCAAATTGAGTATAAAAGCTGTTTTTAGTTGTATATCTACATGTTTTAATGGTTACCAACCAATGAAAATCAACTTAGGAAAACAATTAGAAGCTCAACAGTTATAACAATTAAACGTGTTAATGCAAAACAAGATTAACATTGATGATGTAAACTGAGTCTTCCTGCTTGCTGATTTAAATCAGTCCATCCTGATGGGAATGTCTCTCAACAATGTTATTCCGTTATCACATTTCTTTTCCTCTTGCAGCTTGTATTTCTGCCTGTTAGATCTTAATGTTTACCTCCGACTTTTCCCAATACTTTATTTTAAATATAAATAGCACTTCTTTTTCAGAATATTCTAATTTACTGTTCCTCAAATAACATCACAGGTTACTGTAACTGAAAAAGGTTGTTTATGCTTGGTTTCTTGATTTCCCTAGCTCTGGAAACAGTTACACATGTGCTTAACTTTCTTACTTAACATGCAGCTGAGTAGTCTATTACAGTCAAAGGGATTGCTCATGTATAAATGTTTATAAAGATTTGGGGCCTCATCTGTCCTTTTTAGTAATGTTTTTCATACTGCAGAAAGTAGAGGGGGAAATTATAAAATGTGACTGCAACATATTCCATATTTACTATTTGTATAAGAATTCATGGGGCTTTTAATTTTAATTTTTTATTTTATAAAAATACCTATGTTAAACTTTTCAGGACAGAATAAAGCTGCTCAGGTATGGTGCAAAAACTTTTTGAAAAGTAAAAGTAAAATCAAATCATGGTATTGATGAATCTTCCTGAATGTCCCCCCCCCCCCCC